TGATTTTTTTTTTTTTTTTTTGATGTGCCATTTGAATCTTTTTTGGGGGGGTGGCACCTGGCTGGTACGGGGGAGCCGAGGGAACTGGACCTTTGACGTTGATGTTACAAGGCCATACTCTAAACAACTGAGCTAACTGGCCAACTCCTTCCACTTATTCTTGAATCCACAAAGAGAAGAGAGTAGTATAGGTGCAGTTTTCCATTACTGATACCTTCCTCTGCCTTGCCGTGGTGTAATTTTTCAGTCTATATGTATGACCTGAGAATATGTTTCACTAAAAATATATCTATAAATAATGCCAGATAGCAAGTTATGCTAACTGAATGCACAGGAATTGCACCATCTTACTGACCAGTCAGGGTCCAAAATATCCCTTTTTTAATTTCCCAAGGATCCTTTGTTTCTGCCACAAATATTACACTTTTAGCTTTGGTAGTGGATTGATTTGTTCACTCGACAGACATTGAGTGTGCACCGTGTGTGAGGTACCAGTAGAGGCACGGGGGAGATAGTACTGAACTAGACAGAAAAGTCCCTGCCCTTCCCGAGTTTACATTCTAGTGGTTGAGGGCATGGACTCTGAAACCAAACTAGTTCTTATCCCAGTTCTACTACTATTATTAGCTCTGTATGACCTACTGTCTCTGTAAAACAAGGACAGTGATGGCTTTGACTAGGACAGCAGTGGAAGCAGCTAGAAGTGATCGGATTCTAGATATACTTTTGAAGGTAGAGTCAACAGGATTTGCTGACAAATTGTGTGTGAGAATGAGACGTCAAGGTTTTTGTTCTAATTACTGGAAGCAGGGAGTTGGCCATTTACAAGCTGGGGATGGCTGTGGAGGAGACGAGGATGGGTTTGGCTTTGTTAATTTTGAGATGCCAGTTAGACGTCTTAAGTAGTAATTTAAATTAATCCTGGAAAATGACTTTCCTGAGCCGTTGCTTTAGAGTATCAAACGGAATGATACTCTGAAGGTTTGCTTACGAGAATTCTTTCCATCTCCATAAACCTCAATTTCCTAACCTGCAAAATAGATTTAATAACCACCTCATAGGTTATGAAGATTGTTTGTAAAGCATCTAGCACAATAATATAACGTCCAGTAAAGCGATCTCGTGAAGCTGGATTAGACATGTTTTATATCGTGTCAGTGAAAGCAAACTGTACTCTCCAAAGCAAAGGCAGAGAATTACTATGCCTAATGGAGAGGAGCCCTAAAAACTAACCCGGGTCTGCAAAAGCAGATTGGCAACCCTGTCGTGGTTTAGAAGAAAGAAATACGCAAGAAATTAACTCAAGGCGAACAGGCTGCTCTGGCGACCAGACTTCCCGGCAGCCCTCGCGCAGCGAGGCACCTTCGCGTATTGGACGCCTCTGCAGGAGGTGAGAGGCGTGAACGGGAATAGGCGCGAGGCACTGTGGGTAGGAGACGGCCATCCGCGGGGGCGCCATTTTGTGGAGCGACCGAACACTGTTGGAGGTTGTGGGGCACAGAATCCCTACTCCTGCTGCTTCGGTCCCTCTTGGGGGTAAGTGCGGTGGCCGTCTATAACGACCGGTGGTTCTTGCCTTTGGGGCCGGTCCCCAAGCCTCGCTGTCAACTAATAAAGGCGGCTGATCAGCCCCAGCCTGTTCTCTCGAGGGGCTTAACTACCCTAAGTGGTGGAGGGCTGCGCCCCTCCTCGCCGCTAGCTCTGTCAGCTTCTAGAGGTCGTACCCACTCTCTCCCCTCACCCCCTAGCCCCACACACATCACCCCTCTCAGCCCCGGGCCCTCTTCTTTCGGGCTGTGAGTTTTCCCTTTGCCGGGACGCGTTACTGAATCCCCAGCCCAACGGAGCGGTGGAGCTGTTGCGTGTCCCTCGGGGACTGCTTGGGAGTACCCCGGCTGTCTCTGGCCGCCATCGCTCCGCAGATGCAACTGAATCGCTCTCTCTGAGAGGGTTGTTCGGTAATGGCCGATCTGCGGGCTGCGAACCTCTTGGGAGACGGAGGATGGGGGGCTGTGCAGGGAGGGAAGCCTGGACGCCCGAGTCGGTCACACAGGCCGTGGCGCCGCCATCTCGGCCCTGACACCCCACGGAGGTGGGTGCGGGCACCGCCCGGGAGACG